GCGCACTATCCATACCAAGCCACTGAGCCCTTGTCACAATATGTCAGTATCGAGGCGACCTACACACATTGAATGTATGCAAACAAAGACATCAAAATCAAATCCAGAATATAATTAAAGAATTCATTTAAATCCTTACTAATAATGACATATTTTATTAATGTAAATAAGTCTAAATTTGTAGATAGTAGACATTCTCTACTAGGTATCGACTATACATAATGATCATGATTAGACTAATTGTTAACGGAGCATTCGATTAGACATGCATTCAAATGTATACAGATAGTCATTTCATTGGCAATCTTCCTTAAAACAGACAACCACATGATATTGAATAAACAATCATGAATGAGTAGCACAGAAATCTTCAAAAATTATACTGTAACGATAGTGTAGATTATTTGTAGCTTTAGTTGTAAGTAACTTCTGGATAGTATTGTACTTACATAACGTGTTACTTTTTCTTTAAAAACAGTCTTCACAAACTATTTATGATAAGTAGTGTTGTTAAAAAAACTCCATCTGGAGCTCACCTAAGGTTTCTGCATGTCCCAAGCCTATGTAAAGAACGAGAGTTGAGTGTGAAGTTCGCAACCACACCTCGTATACAGGAACAATACTATAAAAAGTTAACTAGTATCACTAGAAAAATAACAAGTACGTAGATTAGAAGTAAAAACTTATGAAAACGTTTCTTATCATAGTGATGAATATTCTGTTTGCCTTATAAATGATTTTTTCACAGATTGAAATCATGAGTCAGTTAAAGCTAGACCACCATTGAAAACCTGGAAACACTAGACGACCGTTTCGTCCTTGTATGGGACTCCTCAGCAGTGCGCATCCACGATCCCGCCCCACCGGATTCGAACATAGAACCTATCGGTCTCGAGCGTGTACACTTAACCTCTAAACCACTGAGCCGGTCAGCATGCAGCAGTGTTAATGTCTAACTTCAACGAATTCAAGAAATTGCGCCACCGTACACCATTGTCTTCACTGATTTGGTATCTCATAACAGACCTGGTTGAACTCCACTGGTCACTGCTTCTCACTAGAACTCCAGGAAATGCCTCTTGAAGCCAGTCACTAGTGAGCAGATGATTGTTATCAGAATGGCTTTTGTGGAGATTTTAGTAATTTCAATAGTTGAAATCATGAGTCAATTGAAGCTAGACCACCATGGAATACATGGTGTATGGTGGCGCAGTTTCATGGATTATTGGAGGTTAGACTTCGTTAGAAACTGTTGAATGCCGACTCAGTGGTCTAGTTGTTAAGCGCTCGCGTGCGAGACTGATAGGTCCTGGGTTTGAATCTCGCAGGTGGCGGGATCGTGGATGCGCACTGCTGAGGAGTCTCATGCTAGGAAGAAACGGCCGTCCAGAGCTTCCAGGTTTTCAATGGTGGTCTAGCTTCAACTGACTCATGATTTCAATCTGTGAAAATGTCTAAAATCTCCACAAACCCCTTCTGATTATAAATGATTCTCAAATGGTTTTCGCACAGGCTGTGACTTTGTATATTACAATATTAAGTATATATTATGTATAAAGGAAATATGAAATAAAAGACGATGATTGATTGCAAATTTCAAGGTTATTTTTCAGTGAAACCTCATAAAACGTTTTCAATGATCTAGATGTAAACGTGACTATCACTTAACAAATGATTTTGTGAAATGATGTGCATATTTTGTCTAACCGTTTATAAATGTTGAGAAGACTCTAGTTTTAATTCAAAAAAAAGTTTTTTCTTTTGAAAAAATAAGTAAACACGATAAGTTAGTTCTTAACATTTCCTTGATTGTTGGAAAGTTGTCAAATAACAAGTTTTTAGTTGGGAAATATCGGTATATTGGATAGGTGGTAACCATCAGATATTTTAAAGTATATTTGAATGTGATTGTTTAAAGCTCGAAAGAATTTTAAGTATTGAGGAAACGTTTTCTCAACATTTAAATAAATTTGACTATTAGTTATAACATCTAATGGTATATAAACTTCTAAAACTAAGAGTATTGGAAACATTAAAAAATAATTCAGCTTTAATTTTGAAGTTAGAATGTGGATCTGAACGAACGAGTTTTAGATAAAACAAATCCCATGTCCTGAACTTTACTTCAGGCCAGTATCTGTTAACTATATTGTTTTCTGTATAGTTTGTTCATGCATTAAAGTGACTTCACATAATGATTTTGTCTACAAAATAATTATGATCATAAAAACCACCAGTTGAAGTTTGACATTAACACCGTTGGATGCTGGCTCATTGGTCTGGTGGTTAAGCGATCGCGCATGAGACTAATCCATGAAACTGCGCCACCATACACCATGTTTTCCATGGTGCTCTAGCTTCAGTTGACTCATAATCTCAACTATTGAAATTACTACAATCTCCACAAAACCCCTTCTGATAATAATAATAATAATACTTGTTGTGTTCATTTTCTTTGGTTTGATTACAGAAAATAATTATTAGTATAAAGCATGTAAACTGCCATCAAGTTTATGACTTATAAGCATTTAGCTTGTGAAAATTTACAAAATATTTCAGGCATTTGTAGACAATGATTAGTTGTCATTCATATTCACCTATAAATGATTACGCTCATTACTTCTGCCATGATATCTCTTTACATTGCTAAATATATTTGATGCACGAATTCTATAGTGATTTCTTCTCGTTTATTCAAAGAATAGAGAAAGACGAAAACATATGAACCACCGTCATGGTAATTCTCGAGTTTCTCAGTAATAACAATGGTGATTGGTTTAATACATTTTCTGAAAGCACACACAAACACATGGTTAGTAGACGTTCGTAGTTATTTAAAATGAATCAAAGACAGAAACGTTCATGGCAATAAGTGAATATCGTGAAAGATGGAATGTTAAAAGCCTAAGTAGACCACTGTTATTTGATAGAAGTTAACACGTTGTATCTTTTATATCATACAATCGAAAGATTGAAACATATTTAGTTCAAATTTATACAGCACTGAAGAACAGTGTTTCTATTTGACTAAGCAGTTACTAAATCGAATGAACCAGTAAATTTTGATAGGCACTATTTTAGAGATGAGTAACTTTCTATAAAAAGTCGATGAGTGGATGGAAAATAGCAAGTTACTAACACTAAAACAACTATTTAAAATACTACTTGACTAGGAAATTCAAGTAATTAACTGATATCCTGAGTAAAGATTCTTAATGATACAGATAGTATGATAGAACATAGTTTGGTATAGTGCAATAAGCTTGAATAATAAGTATTATTTTTGTACTGATAATGTGTTTTGTCGTCAAAAAACTAAAATACTTCTGTTTTTAGTCAGATCTTATTCAAATTGGCTAATGGTAGTAAACAAAGGCTTTTTACACCCCTAATAATAAGTGATATATACTGTTAAAGGCAATCTGACATGCGTTGTCCAGAAAGTATGTTTCTTCTCGGGAAAACTGAAGTCGACTAATTTATGCTTAAAACAGTGGTTATTGATCAGTCACTTATGTGCAACACAGAATCCAGTATATAAGCGCTTCGATTTAATTTTCTGCACCACACTAGAACTGTGAGATAACATTATTCTAACAAATTCCAGGAGAAGCGAAGCAATAACAGCGTCATGGAGAAAACATGGATTTATCGAATGAAAACGAACGATAGGACAATTTCAGAATCTGTGGTCTGAGTACAGACAAAGAGTGACTGGACCTGATTCATTATGCAAGATCATGTGCTATATCACCTAAAGTCTCTAAATAATGGTTGCAATAATTACGTGGAAATTAACTAGGTAGTCTGTACCTACCTATATGGCTGAGTCCAACAGTTAGTGACCTCATAGACTGACACCACGATTCAGTTTAGTAGCCTCTTTTTTCCCTCCAGCCTACTTCCAAACCAGACATAGCCAACATATGTGTCAACCACTTCTGTCGATGAAGATTCATAAACTCATCAACCGGTTTGTTATATTTATGTAGTGTTCCATGTTCAACTCAGGAGACACAAGCGATACTTTGAAACCAGTAACCTATAAATATGCTCTTCTGTTAATGGTCATTTTTCGCACCAATAGTGTAAAATGGAACGAACAAATGTTAAGCAAACTCGTCCTTTGGTTAGCAGATGGATGTCTCACCTACTCCGCCAGTGACACAAGGGGGAAAGTCCATACTCCGTTTTTCAGTCCGTGACTATATTTCGTCGAACACCAACCCATCAGGACTCATAAGACTCCTAAGATGTGGTTGATATGCTCAATTATTTTTCCTCCTACTGTTCGTCCAGGCGTTAAAATAAACCAGTCTTGATGCAACATTTTGCATTTCAAGGGAAAAAAATTATCCCAAATATGCCTACACTGTTGCTTAACGTAGCCGGGAGACTGTGCGCTTTGTCAGCATCTTCACTAAACAGCACTATATCATCTGCACATTCGAAGTCGGAAAGTGAATACCCTAGGAGCGAATCGACCCTTAAAATGTTAGACGATGAGAGCATTACCTCTGAAAGGATTTTTATGAGAGAGTCAAGTAAGAAAGAAGAAAGTGGAGAACCCTGAAGAACGCTATTTGAGGTTGGCAATTTTGATAACAGTCTCTATATGCTTTAATACAATCATTAGTGTCAGAAAAAAGGTTTGTACAAGTTTAACGTAATTCTTTGGTACGCCTTTAAATGATAGACACTCTCATAAGACATTTCGACCAATTGAGTTGAATACTGTCTTAAGGTCAAGGAGTACATCTCTAGTCTGGTGTCGAGAAGTATGTTTGTTTTCCAGGACCTATCAAAGGGCGAATATCTGGTCGGTATGTCCAGGTCCAGGTTTGAAACCAACTTGACTATTAGTTATATGTTCTTTAACACATTTCTTTAACCTGTCATTTTTGTCCGTTGCTTTCGAATTCGTAACCATTTATATTATCACAGGTTTTATTTATTTGTCATGCTTTGTCATCCTATCTACCATTATTTCTTAATTTTAGGCACGTAAAAATGGACGGATTCTTATGAAACGTATTTATTATGCAAGTAAATCCTCTAATTCATTTCCCGATCTGTCACATTGTCCTGTGTACGAATGTAGTGTAAGTCATACGATTAAGCAAGCTGACTTAGTTGTTTTTGAAAATGATGCAGAACTTAGTAGATTAAAGAAACAAAAGAATCAATCTTGGCTGATTTATCATCTTGAATCTCCACGACATTTTCCATTCCCTATGTTCAAAAACTTGGTTAGTAATAAATTTATGCATTGTTTCATGTCAGTTCATTAAATTTTAATCCGACCATTACTGACTGAATAGATTTTCACCATTTATATTCCCTATAGACTAATTCAATTAAAATCATTTTATTTATTTACATTCACTTTCATGTGACAAAATAAATCAGTGTTTATTCCTAGAATTATTTTTTGTTTACTGAAAATCATCTGATGAATTGACACATGAGTAAATATTTCAGATTCATATACTAACTATGTGTTTCCACTGACAAAATAATACCGTTTTTGACGAGACTAAAATTTATGGACGAATCAATCAAGTATAAAATAACGGGTAACGGATTTTGGCACGAAACTCACTCAACCATTTGGCTAAATAAAGTCTTGGCATTATAGCTGTTAGTTCGTGATGAAAACCCTAAATCTAATTTCTAACATTAATCATCAACTGTAAATCGAAATTTGGATTCATCACATTAATTTATAACCCTCACTTGGTCCCAGTTATCAGGTGGACACTCTCAAGGTCACTTTAGCGTTGCTGAAAGGTCGTTCATAAATTATAGTCCCATCGCTTGATTGGCATCATGAAATTCATTTATAGATCTGAATAGATCTATATGTATGCATACAATCAGAGTTAGAAAGATGAATCTGAAATATACTGTCGAATTAAAATTCAGGTTTTTCATTGGTGAGTATCAATAACTATATTTATTTATTTTCCTAATGTAACTTTTTTTGGTTAATATTAATCCGATATAATTTTAGCATGTTTAAACTTTTAAACTTGTAAAAATATGTAGTGCTATTTATTGCCCCCATGACTTGTTCTAGCTGATTTCAAATACCGTTGAGGATTATATGATGACGGTTACAAGGGTGATTGTTTAACAAAGCACAGACACTACAAATCATCATACTATCCAAATGGAGTCTGATCTCGGGTCAATAAAAATACTTGAATAAACAAAGTATGATATAAGGTGTTTGTTAACTCCTTTAGTAATACATTTCCAATAAATGAACTAACAAAACTCTGCAACATCTTCAAATCACATTACCTGTATGTCATATTTTAATTTTACTGAAGTCAATAAAGACATTGTTAAGTCTTCTTACACGTTTTACCGTATTTATTCTTTCAATCTTCAAAAAAGAATTTGGATATCTTTTTCGTTTGCATATTATTTCCGTATTACGTATTGCATTTTTCTGACTAAACATGAAATTAAATAGAGCTAGAATGAACAGGGATGCAGAATAATATAAATCCTTTATATTTCGTGGTTTCTCATCAGCTGCTTACAACCAAATATGTATTAGAATTTTACATTGAGGTAAGATATATTGTGAAACAATTGACATAAGTGAATGTAAAGAATTGGAATAAGAAAGGTTATCAATAATAACTGCATACATGTGTGCAAGAAGAGGTCGGAGGTCATTCGGTGTTAGAATCAAAAAAGCATTAGTGGTGGATGATTTAATAACCGAGTGACAGATAATAAAAATTGTGTAATAATTTTAGAAGTAATAAAGGGTTTGCACAAGATTCATGGAATTAAAAATCTGGTAAGATGGGTTGAGCAATAATTCAAACAAAATTTGATGAGTTCAAATAATTTTGAGAGAATTGAGTGAGTGGAAATGTGTGGGTGAATAGGGTGGTTTAAATGTACATAAAATAAAAATTCGGTAATGAAACAGAAATATAACAAACTAAACACTAACAAAATAAAACTAACAACCGAAAACCTGATCTATGTATTCAAAAAGATGCAGTAATAAACTTATTACTATCCTGGTAATTCAATTTTCAGTCTTTAGTTTTATTTCTGTACTTCATTCGATTATTACACCACCCAGCCCTCGTGCTTTTTTAATTCTAACACCGAATGACCTCCGACCTCTTCTTGCACACATGTATGCAGTTATTATTGATAACCTTTCTTATTCCAATTCTTTACATTCACTTATGTCAATTGTTTCACACTATATCTTACCTCAATGTAAAATTTTAATACATATTTGGTTGTGAGTTGGTGGAGAAGATTTGTAGCACAGGTGTATGATTTTGATAGAGTTTTGTTCTCTAAGCTGGATGGTTTAGTCGTGGAGCTTTCATCGTTCTTCTGAATAACATCATCAGCACAGACTTCTACCTGATGATGTCATTCAGAAGAACGATTAAAGCTCCACGACTAAACTATCCAGATCAGAGAACAGAAGTCCACCAAAATAATATCATTTATGTGTATAAAATAAGCTAAAGAATATTAGTTGTTAACTGATATATAAAATGGGATATCATAACGTAAATGTATGGTATATGGTTTTTATTCATTGCATTTTATATTACCTGTTGTAATCTTGTTAATATCATACAGTTTTATTGATATCAATCCTATTGAATGGTACTTTAGATTATCTCTTCTTATATTTACACACTAATCATTATTGGTATTTCAACAAAATAAGATCAATTTTCAATTTTACTTATAGATTAATTTTACCGCTACATATACAGTGGATTCAACTATAGTTACACCATATTATAAATATGTACCATTTTCAGATATGGTACCAAAAGATTTAAATCATTCAATTGAATTTGATAAAGATTTTTCTAATGGTAAAACTAAAATGATTGCATGGTTTGTAAGTAATTGTAATGGTGGTGGTCCACGAATGAATTATGCTAAGGAATTAATGAAATATATCAAGGTAAGAAAAATATCAATAATAACCTAACCTGTAAACAATTTTTTGTTGTTTATTTATTCAATTAATTTATTAATAATCATTATTACAATATAGATTTATTACATCAGTGTAAACTTCTATGTAATCATATTGGTAATTGTTGATTTTCACAGATTGAAATCATGAGTCAGTTGAAGCTAGACTACCATTGAAAACCTGGAAGCACTGGACGGTTTTCAATGGTGGTCTAGCTTCAACTGACTCATGATTTCAATCTGTGAAAATCTATAAAAATCTCCACAAACCCCTTCTGATAATTATTGATTTGTTTTTCTTTTAAAATTTGTAAAAAAAAAGAAAAATAATTCACTTAGTGATAAACAATATTAAAATGAATATTGATTTAACTTTGTATTTTCATTTACTTTTTTTAAAAAAAAAAAAAACTAGGCCATATCAACGGTTAAAATAGATTAAGTTACAGGTTAATCAATATTTGAGATTATTATTGAGTCAAATAAAAATATAAGTGAAAAAATAAACTCATGTAATTAATAAGTAAAAGTCACTTATTAATTTTGTGATTGACAAACTTCAAGTTGATTAGATTGTGTGAATGAAGAAAGTGATTTGTTCATCTTTTTAAAAATTAATAATTAGACAACTTTTATTGAAGAGATCATGACAATTTTGAAATTAAAAGTTTTGAAGTGAATTCTGTTGTGAAAGATAACTTTCACCATAAATTGATGTTAGTTGAAGAAGCGATGAAAATTAGTTAGTGTTTCATATTAGATATTCCAAGATGCCTACAACTAACAATTATTCGTTAAAGGTCCCTGTCTTCTAATTATTCATTACAAAATATTCTTAAAATATCCTCAAAAATCTTGACAAAATTAAGCTAAATAATCTTTAAGTTAAGTAGTTATTTGAACACTAGGTATTGTTTAAATAAAGTTATTGATAGTTGAAGTGTATCTCATCACTTATAATGACGATGAGGATAATTGTATTATGAGATAAATTTATTTCTGAAGAATTTACTGCAACAGTAAACAATTGTCAAGCTCCTTCTTGTTTCTATTCTAATCGTTTTGTTTTGTGCTACCTGAAACATCACGAAACGTTGATTCAATCATGTCTACTACACATTTGTCCTAAATAGAGTATGCTCAAGACAAGATCAATGGTTTAGTTTTGTTTTTTTATAGGGCTAATTTAGATCGAATACTAACAAAGATAAGGATATAGATCCAACACAGTTATTTACTACTCGGTAAACAACAATACAACCACATATCAACGATACTCAAAAACATATATAGAATAAGAAGGTTGTTTGATTGTTTTAAAATTCTGTTATAATTTTACAAGTTAACTATCAACAATTACTTCTTAATCTGATAGTTAATTGTTTTAGCACATTTATTTGACTAAATAAAAACTTTCATTTCATGTTCAATGCTGTCATGTATTAAAAGGAAGCATTTGGAATCCCATAAACTGATAATATGAAATAAACTTTTCTGTAAGAAGAAGCCAGTTTAACTTGATTTGATCTTAGTACTTTAGCTGAAAATAATTAACTTGTAAATATTTGAGTAAGATCATTGTATTTGTTCTGGATTTAAGCGTGCAAAAAGAATAATTGATAAATACGTATTGCAGAAAATAAACTGAAAGTAAATTAGAACATTAAGTCAATAGTAAAACATGATAGATTAGATATGAAAACTAAGCTTATATGTTTGTTGATGTTGTGAAGTCGATACATTAATTACAAAGTTTTCGTTGTCATTGTAGACAACATCATCAACTTCTACTTCAAGAAGTTAAGCTATTATCCTTATTGTCCGAAAAGTCTTATGTTTGGCAAATTAGCCACTGAAAAAATAATCAGCAAGTGTGGACAATCTAATTATTGATCATATTAGTCTAGTTAATAGCGTAAACAGTTCATGTATAATGATTAACACGTTTTCTAATAAGAATAATTTTTGTATTAGCTTGTAGTATTTCTTTAAAAATAAACAATAGCATTGTGCCATAGTCACATTTGAAGTTGTAAACGTTCTTTTACATTCCATCATGCACATATTGTCATTTATATAGAAAATGATGATCTTTAGATAACGTATTTGAATGATGATACTAAAACAAGCAACTTTGAGAAATAGTTTAGCAGTTCTTCAAATTCATAAGAAGGACACAACAGTTAATCATTACTTGTTCATGGGTTTGAATTAGGATTAAACAATTTAGCAAGCTACTTGTTCAGCATATAATCATGTCTTAATGTAGAAATGTAACTATCACCTTGAGGTGGTGGTGTTATAATTCTGTCTCACAGTTATAACTCAGCTATTCCTATTGCTTAGTATTCTCGGACACCAATTCACTCGACAAGTCCCCAAGTCAGGACACGGTTGAACAGGAAAGAGATTATATTCCAAATAACAAGGTTAGATGGAAGTAAGAAGCACAATAGGAAAAGCGTTAGTATATTTATAGTTTTTACATTAGAAGATTTCTAGAGTATTCTCCAAGTATCGGCTAGTGCTGATTGGATAATAATTAGCCAATCAGCGTGCGTCAATGCAATGGTGCATAGAGCATGTTTTAATCAAATCTATGTCCCGCTAACAATGTGGTGATAACTTTTGGATAAGGTGTATAAACTATAACTGTCTTGGATGTATTTAATATACGTTGTGACTGTTTTGTTGCTAAGATTACAATGATTTTTTTCCGTATAATATGGACTATTATAAAAAGTGTTTTAATGGGCCTTATTAAGAATCATTAATTGAAGTATTCTCTTCTAATTTTATAGGTCAAGTGCCAATAGATGCTTCTTTATTGTGTATTATCTTGTTGTACATTTGTTTAACAGTGTATGTTAATTCGTACAAAACATCAATAGATAATCCGATTGATAAACATTTATCTCGAGTATATAGCGGCTTTCCTACAATCAGTTTCAATTATGGTTGTTCAAACAATAACAATTCGCATTTTACTTTGTACTATTATGGTTACTATCATATCTGTATAAACGTGTACGCTTGATCGCACAACAGACTCTAGCTAAAATGTTGGCAGTCTAAATATCGTCCGATGAATCATTCTCTTCTCCGTGTATTAATGTACTCGAATCCTACTATTAGCCGTTGTCTTTCCTATCTGCGTCTTGATTCGATTTGACTATAAATTTGCCTCTGTATTCGCTCACATACACATATTCGCCTCTCTGCATGAAATTCACTCTATGTGATTGTAGCTTAGTTATCTGTAGTCGCCGCTTCTTATTGCCCTCTGATTTCAAACACCATTGGGGTTTATATATTAACGGTTACAAAGGCGATTGATTGACGAAGCTAAGCCATTACAAGTATTTTTTTAAAAAGAAATCATTAACTCATTATAAACGATTGAGCATTAATTGTTGTGCATTATATTATTAACTCTTTATTGTTATATTTCAAATAGGTTGATATCTATGGTGCATGTGGAGATCTAATTTGTGATAAATATAATAGCACGTGTTTTGAATCATTGAAAAATGATTATAAATTCTATCTCAGTTTTGAGAATAGTATCTGTCAAGATTATATTACTGAAAAGTTCTTTCTAAATGCTCTTAAGTAAGATTTTTTTCTTTTGAAATTGTAAATATAAATATTATTTATTTATACGAATATTCGTCAAGATTAGAATGAATCGTTTAACAGAAATTAGGCGCCGAGTATAGAGAAGTCATCATATGTAAAATATTATATTTGGAATAAATAAATAATTCCAACGTTTCGTCCAGCTAACATGTCTGAACTTCTTCAGGGTAATAATCAAAATCATCAAAGAAATATATATAGCGTTTTAACAATCAAATCTATACTGTGTTAATCCAATCATGTTTGGATGTTGATTTTAGTAAATAGGATAACATGAGTCAGTTAAATGAGAATCGTGTCAAAAGTTCACGATGTGAAAATAAATGACTGAGCGAATTGTGTGTATTTATGTATGTGTAAGATTGAGTTATTAATAGTTGATATTAGATGTTAATGTTTTTATATAAAGGAAAAATAAAAAATTCAAGTTAAAGGTTGAAAAAATTGTTTCTGAATCATTGATGTGCATGTCAAATGCGAATCATCAAATAAATAATTGTATTGCTAAAATAACCCACATCAATTTCAGTCAGAATAACGATGCATGTGAAATAAACAGGTTGAATAAGGAAAGGGTCCAATTAATTCTCATCGGATATTTGCGAGATACCTTGATAAGGTTTTAACACTCATAAAGAAAGATTGACAACAGAAGCGCTGTATATATGGGTGAGCAAGAACAGCCTGATCCGAAAGGATGGTATTCAATTAGCGACTACTTGGCAACTTGGCACAACTTTCTGGCTTTGTGGTACAGCGTTCTCACCAACCGATAAGTGTAAGTGACTAGGCAAAAATTATTTTGGCCACTCCATGTTTTTTTCCGACACATGAATGTTTAATAGGTTTCGTCACTTCTTCCATGACATCTAGACCTAGGGAACAGATGTTATCCTTTCCTTTATGTTCGATTGTGAATTTCATGTTGGAATAGACTACGTTGAAAGTTTCAAGTATCTTATTAACATGATTTATGTCGTTGCACAAGTATCATCAGTTTAGCTTACATTCAGTATAGTTTCTTTGATAGGGAAAAATATCGTTTTTCCTTTCTTCATATATCTAGAACTCCCATGTTATAGAAAACGTGTTATTGAAATAAAAGCTATTAAATTTAATAGAAATAAAGTTATGAAACAGATCATATTGGGTTATGGCTTTAATTTACTTGTGATAAATGAATATTGAATACATTTGAAATTTAATTGTGAAGATCATTGACATTTTTAACGATGTATCAATTCACATTGTTGTTTAGGTTGAAGAAATTGCGTTGATATCTTTAGATGACTATTTACAATATCTTTTATCAATCTCAACGAATCTTCTTGTCAAAAAGTAGGAAAAATCATATCTCGTCGATTGACTACAAATTTTAAGGAGAATCCATCTTGATGAGGCAACTATTGAGTAAATACTGAAAGTAAATTTCATTGGATTGTTGTTTCATAAACACGTTTCTCATCCAAACTGTTTTATATTCAAATTATTAGAAAATTAATTATGCAGATTACATTAAACTATACCAAACTCTTTACGTTAGTAGTTGTACTACAAGTAATTATGATGATCGCCTGTAACTAAACTTGTACTCTAGCAACCCTTTCTATTTCAAATATTCCAATAAATAGTTATTATAGGCTTATGAGTCTGAAGTGATCAGGAATGTAATTGTTTTACCAGAGCACCTGTCTAACAATCCTCATTTTTCAATTAAATTTCTCAAACCACTAATAGTTTACGCTACTTTATGATAGAATAATTAATAGCTCTAATAATATATTGTATTTTAGAAATACTGTTGTTCCAATCGTAATGGGTGCATCGAAATCAGAATATGTAAGATCAGCTCCATCAAATTCTTTTATTCATGTAGATGATTTTAATTCTGTCAAACAATTAGCGGATTATTTGTACTATCTAGACAACAATAAAACTGCTTATAATGAATACTTTAAATGGCATAACCATGGAACAGTTGATTTTAATACATTCACTGATTGTCGACTATGTATGCTGGCGCATGAAATCGATAACTTGGAACGACCTTATTGGTATGAAGATGTAAATCAATGGAGACAGAATAGTTGTGAAAATCGTAAATTTCCGATTATTTGATAACTTAGCAGAAAAAAAACAAGTACACTTGTAAATTTTGATTTGATTTTATATTTATATTTTTATATTTTCATTATGTTTCTTTTTTGTAAAAAAAAAGCTTAAGAATGAATAGACGTTTATGTCAAGCACCTCCAAGGACCCTCCAAAATTTACATGACATTTTCACTGTATAATTGAATTTATGATTTCAATTAATTAGTTTTATTATTGTCAAATTTGAAATACATTTGTGATTTTTTATCTGATGGATTTTAATTCATTTCTTACTTTTGTGATGTAATTTTTACTCATTCGTAGAAATTGTATAAAATTTATTGATTTGAAATTCCTCTTTTTCCATAGATGAAGGTGTCAGTCGTGGAATAAGTAGGAATGGTTATAGACACAATACATTTCGTTATTCTCGATTCAGCCCTACTTTTTGGTTCAATATCATAGCTAGCAATGCTTTTGTCCATATTCGAATATTTGTACACATAATGTTCGCAAACACTTTGTTAAAAGTTTGGGTTTCTTTTCATATTGGTCAAATTTATCGTTTCCTAATTACTTAATTACTTACGCCTGTTACCCTCATGGGGGAGCACAAGCCGCTCACCAACGTTCTCCATCCAACTCTGTCCTGGGCAATCCTTTCCAGTTCTTTTCAGTTGCTATTCACCCTTTCCATGTTTGCTTCCAATTCCCGACGCAGTGTCTTCATCGGCCTTCCTATTTTTCGTTTCCCTTCAGAATTCCAAGTTAGCGCTTGCCTCGTGATACAGTTTAATGATTTCCTCAATGTGTGTCCTATCCACTTCCAACGTCTTTTTATAATTTCCTCTTCAGCTAGAAGTTGATTTGTCCCCTCCCATATCAGGCTGCTTCTGACGGTATCCGGCCAACGGACATTCAGTGCCTTACGTAGACAATTGTTTATAAATACCTGTACATTTTTATGATGGTTGTGGTAGTTCTCAAAGTTTCAGTTTCGTACAGTAGGACTATCTTGACGTTCGTACTAAAGATTCTGACTTTGATATCGGTTGACAGTTGTTTTGAGTTCCACATGTTCTTCAAATGTAGGAATGCTGGTCTTACTTTGCCAATCCTTGCCTTCACTTCTGCATCAGACCCTCCTTGTTCATCGATGATGCTACCCAGACACGTGAAAGATTCTACCTCTTCTAGAGCTTCTCGATCAAGTGTGACTGGGTTGGTGTTCTCCGTGTTACACTTGAGGATCTCGCTTTTTCCCTTTTGTATGTTGAGGCCTACTGATGCTGAGGCTGCTGCTACATTGTTTGTCTTGACCTGCATTCGTTGGTGTGTACGAGAGTGAAGAGCTAGGTCGTCTGCGAAGTCCAACTCGTCTAGTTTCCTCCAACCTGTCCATTTTATTCTGTGCTTCTCCTTAGATGTTGAGGTCTTCATAATCCACTCAACTACCAGAAAAAAGAGAAAGGAGAAAGTAGACAGCCTTGTCTGACTCTGGTCCTTTCTTGAAATCGGTCTGTCAGCTGTTCTCCATGCACCACTTTATACTGTAGTCGGTCATATGAATTCCGCTTGATGTTGAGGATTTTCTCAGCTACTCAATTCATAGTGTCGAGGAAGTTTCTATAATGTTCTCCTATCCACGTTTTCAAACGCCTTCTGATAATCAATGAAGTTGATGTATGGTGACAAGTTCCATTCAAGCGATTGTTCAATGATGATCTGTAGTGTCACGTTTTGGTCTGTGCACAGCCTTTCTTTACGGAATCCAGCTTGTTGATCCCGAAGTTGAACGTCTACTGAATCTTTCACCCTGTTGAAAAATTTCCACGCTACCGATAGAAGTTTGATGCATTTGTAGTTCTCACACTTGTTCGAATCTTCTTACTTTGGCATCCTGTTGAGGTATCTATCTCTCTAGTCTGTCTGCACTTGTTCTTCCTCACAAATCTTCCTGAATAAAATGTGGAGGTGGAATCTTTCACGTATCTGGTTAGCATCATCGATGAACAAGGAGGGTCTGATGCAGAAGTGAAGGCAAGGATTGGCAAAGTAAGAACAGCATTCCTACATTTGAAGAACATGTGGAACTCAAAACAACTGTCAACCGATATCAAAGTCAGAATCTTTAGTACGAACGTCAAGATAGTTCTGTAGTGTGTGCTACTTATATTGACATAAGTAGTATATGATGTTAGTCGTGAACAGAAGGTCTGGTAGCAGAGAGACAAGAAGATAGAACAGTAAAGAATAGAAACAGGGTGCAATTTGTATGGAAATACAAGAGCAATGAAGTCTGAGTCATTTTGAGACAATTGGTGGACATTTTGCAAATTAAGCATTTACTTTATGATCGTTAGGTTTTATTAACAAGTCCTATAATTTTGCGTTAAATACATTCAATTATCCCCCCTCGTGTTCTATTCACTACACAAGTAATCTAAGTATTCATATGTTAAAATGTCAAAACTCATTAGTGGTGTGATCGAAGATCCAAGTATGTTATTCAGTATGAATATAGTTTTCATAACAGTTTGGCTTAATCGTTTAAAGATCCCCGTCATATTAAAAGACTAATATTTGAACGAAGAATATTCTTTTCGATAAATTCTCTTCAGGTTCTACAATTATATATCCAAATTATTAATCCGAAAAATGGCCAGGTTAAGGGCAAAGTACATCGTTTAGAGCATGTGAATTTAGGATTGTGATAAACAAAATACAATAAAATTGTTAATGAGATGGTGGAGAAGATTTGTAGCTCAGGTGGATGATTTTGATGGAGTTTTGTTCTCTGAGCTGGATGGTTTGGTCGTGGAGCTTTCATCGTTCTTCTGAACGACATCATCAGCTCCACGACCAAACCATCCAGCTCAGAGAACAAAACTCCATCAAAATTGTTAATGTTAATATGACTCATATAAAATGTTAACTTGAATCTGCGTGTATGTCAATTGGGATTTAAGATCTATGATCAGAATAAATATGGGTCAAATAGGGTGAGAGAGAAATAATAGTGCAATTACAATTCGATCAAATAAGTAAGACGTAATACGGAGGGATGAATGCGAAGTGAATGAATCATGTATAAGGAGATTAATGATGTTTAACCAATAATACGAATAATAATAATAATAATAATAATAATAATAAAAAAGAGTAATAATACGAATAATACAAAGATTTATGAATAAAGATAACAGGGACAATTAAAATTGACTACGAAAGGCCATAGTCAAATTGGGTCATTCAATAGTTAAGATTACGATTGATTAATTGGCCTTGATGTTGGCCAGGGGAGGAGGAGTGGCTGAATATATTTCTTCTGTACGCATAGCTCCGGTTTCTGGGCTTAAGTTGGAAAATCTTTAGTAACTTCATTATTAGAAAATCACGATGAGTTTATTAAAGTGAATGATGTAGAATGTAGATTCTCATCGAATCACTGGATTCTATGGTTACAGCAGCAGGATATAAGCACCTTTTGTTTAGTGATTTTCTAGGGTTTTTAACTTTTTAAGAATCCTGTAACTGATCTCATTTAATGATAAAAGATCTTTTGGAAATCAATTCAACGTGTTGTTTAGTTACAGATGGGTAGTAAATGTCATACAAAACAATACATAATAATACGACAGGTTACTTTTGTTGATAGATTGAAAGGTAAACATAGTAAATAAATTAATAGTTATTTCAGGATGAATTGCGTCACGGGCTGACATCAGCCTGGAAACCATTGGAAATCAGAAAGCACTGGACACATGTTCTTTTGTCGTTGAAAAAACTTTTCAGCTAAACTTAAAAATAGTGTCACGCGGTGTAAAACCGATAATCCTTAGGCCTCGAATAGGGTAAATCTATAGACTATCGAATCAGAATCCTATAATACACTTATTATACTCGTCACTAGTGGGCTTGATGGAGTGTGGCTATAAATGTACAGATGAGTTTATAAATACGATTTACCAAACGTTTAGCGTTCCATGATTTTCAGTAATTTCCCGCTTGATATCAACGTGTCTTCAAATAAATATTATTTTTATATTGTGTTAACATTTGAATCTATTTACATTCATCCCAAAAAATATTCTTTTTTTCGGAAAAACAACATCATTAAGGTAGATTTTGACTTCTTTAGATCATAGACTTTGTTTTCTATGGATAATTATGTATAAATAATTGTCTTAAATTGTTTGTAATAAGTAGAATAGGCTTATGAAACTTGACTTTATTTTTAAAGATATACAATCTCTTATTGAATAGTCACTATGCCTACCAAAAATAGATTCAATTTGTACAGTGGTCACTGCTAACATTTACATTCTATTATAAACGTAATATTTACTGTAAAATACAATAAGTAATATAATAGATGAACATTGTGGCAAGCCCATTTGGCCACTGTATCATCTGTCTATTCATTGTAACTTAGACTCTTAATTCACTATGTTAATTTCGGTGTGTTTGATCGAATGCGTGTCTGTACATTAACTTTTAAACTATTTTCCTATTGGTTTCAACGTGCAGATAATCGATAATTTATCTACACCCGATTAACCCTCAAATATATATGGATTTTTAACAAACTCACTCACTCTCTCTGTTCCCATCGTGTGCTTGCTCACAATACGCTTGTGGATTATCATTATTTATTAATAATAAACTATCTCCATAACTGGTGTTCAGGCTTCTTAATAATCTCGAGTAAATCCATAATTCTACTAGGAGATTAAGCCTACCTTAAATACTCAGTTACGGAATATTATTATTTGGAGTCAGATATTAAGGACATTACCCTTAACATATTGGTTAGCTGCCGCCACAACATATTGGTGACCCGCCTTTAGAACGCGCACCATTTTCCTCCAAATTCTGCTGCATTCTCCTCAAGAGTATCATAAATAACTTCATATTGGAATTATTATTACAATTATTAACAATTCATTAACAGTCATAATAAATCCATCCATAACATTGTTCCTTTGGAATTATTACTGTATATTCTCATACATATACCAAAAGTGACAGTTTTTCTTTTTGGTGAGTCTTATATATATATTTTTTGTTATTTTTTATTTCTCTTCATATTGTATATTACAATCCTCGGCTTATTATTACTATTGCTTTTTCGTATCATGGCACTTGATAATTCGTTAAGCCTTTCATCTAAATCTATTTCCGTGGGTGCCATCTCTGTACCTTTACCCATTTTTAATCCACGAAAGGCTGAACTCTGGTTTGCTCGTTTGGAAAGCTTTTTTGTTGCAAACAAAATCACAAACCAGAGTACGAAATTTAGTTATGCAAATTCACTGCTGCCAGATGACATCATTGAACAAGTGCCGGAT